AATATATATATATATATATATATATATATATATATATATATATATATATATATATATATATATATATATATATATATATATATATATATATATATATACGTAATATATTGCTGTACATGTTGTCATTTTTCCTAAACATAGATTTCCTTACGCGAAAAAAAGTAGGGGGATAAAAAGCAGCGAAGAAGAGATGAATGCCACCGTTCCGCTGTGACCACCAAGGTTACTATCATATTCATTATTAATGCCAACTCAACTGTAACTATTACCGATACACTAGACTTTGTTGGTACTGATACTACTAATGTTACACACCTCATGATCACTCCTTTCACGATACAATTATCGTTAACATTGTATCCGTCATTGGTACTGTCATCCTATTCAATAAAAATCCACTCTACAACTAATGCTACTTTCAACTACCAATAGTTTTTAAAACAGAATATACATGTTAAACAAATTAGAGCAAAAAAACTGCATTAAATTCCTTCATAATAGAATAAAATGTAACGCCACTCCTGCTATTAATTATCATTTGTAAGTTGTTCCTTCAACTAAGTCTTATTCGCAGCACAAACACTGATCCAATAAGATATCTAAGGCCTTTCCACTTCTTTACCGTCAAAATCTTTCTTATCGTCGTTACACTTACCTCAAGACCAAACCGCATTCAGACGACCAACAATACGTCACACGTCAGTTCTTTTTACACTGGTGAAAAGTTACAATGAATGTTATAAACCAAAATACGACACAATGGGAAGTATTAATTTCAATTCGTCCCTGAATTAATTACCTTCTTCGGATTACCCAGAAGTAATGACCTTACGAGATACCGGAGAATTTTGCATATTTTAGCAACATATTTTCCACTAAACACATACTGCAAATTGCATCGGCATCAATGATGATAGGGTAAGTGTAGTTCATTTCACCGTTCATAATAACTGCTACAGCCAAAGTAGCTATCACAAATTGCAAAACTATTGTTGACAAACTGATACATATGCATATGACAGCTCCGGATTGAAACTACAACTCTTCTGGATAACAACTTGAAGTGGCAGCAAATCACAAAATAATCTCACAAAATAATCCCAAGATCTAAAAAAATAATTTCTCTAATCCGAAGCCATCCAAACAATGGAAGACTTCAGCTGTTAATTACCTCGCTTACTGTATATATACAAAACAACGAGTGGAACACATAGAACAATAACAAAAGTACCAAGAATTTCCACTGATCTGATCTGCTTTTAGTAACCGTGAAGACAAATGGTACCGGTAGAAGTCGAACACGACTACACCAGCACCATATAGTGTTTAGTAAAAAGCTTTTTTTGCGGCAAAATAAGACCACGTTGAGCATCACCCACGGCCATATGCATTATTTAAGCAGCATTTGACTTCATCGGAAATTGAGAGTTGTCGACCAAGATTATTCGGAACGAATTTATAGTATAGTGGGGAAAGGATGATTATGATTATTGTAAGAAGGGGGCGTCGCCGTGATACGAGGCGAAAAACAGAATAGTGATACGACCTTCAAATTCTAACGTCTCACTACCCATGTCTTTCACCACCGACACACAGCATGCTCCAGAAATGTAGATTGTTTCTTCCGGTATACGCATTATCAAACTACACTCCTTAGAATGCTTCTTATAATTTAAATCTCCAAAATTTGACCCCACCTACTTCGCCTTAGTACTTCCCAGACGCACCCTGAATCACAAAATGTAATTGGGCCCCAGTGAACCCGCTAGGCGATGTAAAAATAGTCCTGCTCTGTCGTGGACAAACATAAAGTACATTGGAAGACATGAAAACTAGACACGCAGGAGTGTAATTTGATTAGGTGCTTCAGGAACTTGTACAACAACACAGAGAATAACGAAAATATTTTTTAACATCGAAAGTGGATCCTAACGTTTCCGTACATCTCACATCTTTTCAAATAACTTCCAAACAGCTTAAAAGTCTAAAACCGCGTACGTCCATAAAGAGACGATGACACGTCGCGGTGCATTTCATCTGGGACTAAGACCAGGGAATGATAAAATCCACATTCAACTTACAAGAAATCACGACACATCTCATGAGCGACCTAAACCAAACATCGAGCAGCGGAAGGGAGGAGGTTGTCCAAAATCGCTTACAAATTTACAAAAAAACATGTTCTACCAGGCTAAACGACCAACGTACCGCTATACCGTATTCCCCTAAAATGTTCCAAAAAGTGGCAAACACAGCGTGGATGAACGACTGGTCTAGAAATAGCCTGGACTATATGGACTGGTAAGAACCGAAGCCCTAATATTAATCAACAAAACCCGGGAGCTTGAAACAACTTTGGAACCGTTCCTTTGATGAAGCGCTGCTCGGTATATGTAATACAAGCAATGAACACTACTTCGCAGCACACAAAACGAAATACAAGATCGGAAAAAATGAGCATTTAAAGAACAGGAAATGTTTGAAGGAAGTGACAGTCAAAACTGGACGTCGCTTTCAATATAATCCACAACACCCCATTAAACTTCACTCCGTAAAGGAGGTAAGGTGTAAGAGTAGTGATAAATTAGGAACTAACCATTAGCGATTCCACTCGTTGATCATCGGTAATGTAATGCGAATAATCAGATGGGCAATAGCAATGCCCAAACAGTGTAGGACAAATCACATTTTGTAAGCTTCCTGAAAGACTTGATACTAAATAATAAACGTCTGGATAGTCTTCCTGTACCCCACAAGACTTATGTAACTGACTCACAAAATCTAAGATTGCAAAAGATTGCAAAAGAGATGAAACACAATTGCCTCTACGAACCGAAAGAAAAAGTAGTGGTGAATCCTACTTTAACAGATGCATTAACAGACACCACCAATTAGTTTAATCAAACACAATGAGAATTCAATTTACTGTGCCAAATCAAATAGAGTTAGAATCTGACGTGAAGAAACAATAGAATGAAAGCCTCAAGATACGTCATTTGAGGGACCCCGATATCATCGAAAAGATAAGCCACAAGCAATATCAAACTTATAATTGCAATCGACAAATCCAACATAGTATCGGTAACAGTAGTTTCAGTTTAATTGAAAAGAAATGGCAGTAACATACGGTGATCACTTACGTAATGAAAGGAAAAAGTGACCCGATAAATAACGACCTATTACACCCCAATGAAGCGAAGAGAAAGCTACGTGTGTGTGTGTATGTGTGTGTGAGTGTGGTGACTGCTGGGTGATGGTGGCAGAAAACTGAGGTTGGCGGTAGGGGAAGAGTATAGATTAGGTCGGAAACCTTGCCGCAGTTGCGGCGTTGACAGATATGACGGATGCGATAGAGAGAAGACTACTGTCAACCCTTGGAAAGCTGAAATTGCAAGTGAGAGGAAGGAAACCTAAACACAGAAATGGATGGAGTGAAAGGATCGGGAAGGAAGGGTCAAAGCGTGACAAAACCAAATGGAAACAGCTGTATTTTGTCGACGAGATGAGAGCATTTGAGAGGGAGAAAGGTCAGGTGAATAATTGAAAGTTAAGGTTGGAGAAATAGAGGAAGTTGCAGATTCAAATAGAGTTGTTTCGGTGTATGGCCAAATCATCTCCCACCCTCCCTGGCGACCGTTTGCATTTGCACACACAGAGCATTCATCAGAAGCAGCCAACTCGTGAAAGCAGTTAAAGCGACAAGTTCGGGGACCTTCGGAAGGGGTAAATTACCCCATCACCACCACCACAGTCTTTCTTCTTCGTTGTTGGCTGAGCAACATGACCCTCCTCCTCCTCCTTCTCGTTCTCCTCCTCTTCCTCCACCATCTCCCAGCTAGTTTTTATGCCTGCCAAGTGAGAGCAACCAAGCGACACAATAACGAGCTCACGAGTGAGGATCACCGAGGCGGGGCTCACATTCTTTTCCGTCTTCAGTCCATCGCTCAACAAATATCCCCACCCTCTGTACCATTCTTTTTCCCATCTTCCCTCCAGATTCAGAAGAGATGCAGGTGACGAGGAATGAAGAAAGTAAAAGTCTACATTTGCTCAGCAGTTGCAACTTGCAAAGGATAACATTCCAAACAGAGAGTGGAAAAGAATGGAGTAAGCAATGAAGAGTTTAGTTAGATACAGAAAGAAGCAAAAGAAAAACGTTAATGGAATTTCTGGCGTCCAACAAAAAACGTCGCCACCACAATGTGAGTGCATGGCGACCTTCCCACTTTCATTCTCATTCTCATCAATTGCATACATTGCCACTCTGTCACCCCTCATCATCCTCTTCTCCCGTTGTAGGATTAATTCCAGCTATTTTCAACAAGCATCCTTCTTTTCTCTCCTCTCTTCTTCCTCACGTCTATTCTACTTGATACTTCCATCGATTGGTTTGTCGCGTGTGAGCTGGCATAACAGCAGTGATTTCGCAAAAGATAGTTATGGAAACATTTCAGAGCAAGAGATACCAAAACACTGCTGCAGCAGCACCATCAAGGCAGTGCTGGGATGCAGAGAGGGACAGACATAAGTGTGGTATAACGACACGTGCTACTAGGAGAATTGCGCGGGGTCAGTAGCATGAAGTGATGGATAGCGAGAATCACATCGGGAGGGAAAACTGCCCCCATGGCCTCTCTCAGCAGGTATGCCACAAAAGCTTTCCCAGCATCTTTCATTCCTCCTTTTTTTTTCTCACTTGAACTCGACCCATTTCCACTTCAGTTTAAAAGCCACCCTAACCCTTCTCTCACTTTAGTATCTTCCCAATCGCTAATATCAGAAAATAGTCAAGAATGCGGACAACGTACTTGTAACCATTCGCAATTTCCTCAGTCACCCCTCTACTCTCCATTGCTGTATTAATCTTTTCATTTTTGAACCCTGCATCCCTAATTCTTTGTCTTCGTAATCCTTCAAGCTTGCTGTATTCCTGCAAAATACCCATTTTCTTTTTGTTCCCGACATGGCTCACTCACTAAAATTGAGATGATTAATGGAATTCAAAACGTAGTCACACTTTCAAACTTACTCTTCTCACTTTCAAAGAACTTAGTTTTTCCCCCTCTGCGATAAAAGATTAACTTTCAATGTCAACATATGAATATATTTAAATCTGATGCAGCCAAACTTGTTTCAACAACAAAAAAAAACGACCTAACCCTACCCTATATTTTATAATGCCACAACTATAGGTTAACGCTATCCGTCATACAAAACTATCGTCCATCTGCATATCTCCAGTGATGTACACACACACACACACACATGCGTATATACATAAACATATGTACACATACACGCACATATATACATAGATTATAAAGGGATGCTTAATTCTTAAAACTCTAAGTATAATGCCCTTTCTCTAAGCTTCCCTCACACTGTTTACCTCACATCAGCAAAAAAAAACTTTTTTTCTTTCCCAGAAACAACGGGAAACGTGCCAACGGTGACTTATTCACTTCTTCATTTCCTATCTTCTCAATTCTGATTTATTTCATTTTTTCTCCAAAAAAAAGCAATGCATAAAAATACGATGCTATCTTTTTTTGTTCATTAAAAATGAAAAAATCCCAAGAAAAAAATCACTACCATTGAAGCAAAAAGACAATATTTATCGTGAGTATAATGATGTTGGGACCTCACACAAAGCACCACTCCTATTCCTACTGCTTCATGCAATCAAATGGGTAAAGGATGATTTAAAAGCACTCTGAAAATTAAAACCAAGGAAAAAAAATCCAAAAGAGAAAATATATAGATATATATACATATACGTACGGATTCCTACTATTGGAACCGTACATGTTACCTCAAAAGAAAATGAAAGGTCTTTGCTACCTTTATCTATCCAACTAACAAAATCGAACAGGTCAGTGAAGGACAAGTTCTGGTAGGACGGAAGAGAAAGCAGGATGAAATATGATGCATTTTCAATCGCTTGCAAGTTACTATAAAGCATTTTTGTCTATTCACTTAGTGTAGAATAGCTTCCCCAACTTATCCCGTCTGCTTATCTAATTGATTAACTAGAAAAAAGCACTTTAGTATCTTCTCAATCACTAGGACAACGATCACTTAATTAAAAATAGTTTCCCATGAACCATCTCTCAATAAACCAGCTAGAAAAATGCATAGTGAGATGACTTAATATTATCCTATCATCCATACATAGTATTGATATATTTTTTCTCTGGAAACTAAAAAATTTCGAAATCCAAGCATTTCCAGCCATATAATCTGTTACAGAAACCACGAGAACAATATAATTACCCAGCAGAATAAATAAGCAGGAGTTAACAAGCAACCAATGAAATGATAAAATAAAATATCTAATCTATCATTCAAAGAAGCAATCAATCGTTATTGAGGGAAAAACTTACGAAACATTTATGTGGCATCAATTTACAAGATGTTTAATTTGAAAATTCAAGGTTAAAAAAAACACATACCTTGCGGCAATATGTGTTGCTCAACCAAAGTATCAATTGCTCCAATTGCCGATTTACGTACCTAAAAATGAATGCACTCACAAATATGCTTGACCCACTTTTTTCCTCAAACTGATAACAGATCACCTCCAAAAAACACAAAATTGATAATAGCTGTAAATTACTTTAAATTTGCGCTTACAATTCTCTTTCTAAATTCATCACTCGAACAGATTAAAAATTGAATACAGCAAGAGAAAAAGAAATTAAAGCAACATAACAACGATTAAAGGAGTAAAAACCAAAATATCTATATCTGCTTATAATATTAGTTCTCCACACTTTCCCTTTGTTAAAGCATTAAGCAAGATTAATGCATGTTCCATCACATTCTTCAAATGTTTATCTCTTTTCAACGACTGATTATTGCAGATGCTGCAACAATTAACAACCACAACAATACGATAACAATTTGGAAAAAAATATCAACAATTTATGCAATAAGAAAAAGTTGACTAGTTCAAATAACATCCCAATGAAACAAAGAATCAAAGACCAAGAGTCAGGTACTCATGTGAAGATGTGGAAAACAATAATACTCATTTATCAACTATAACGATTTAATATCAGTTTTCTGAAAGAAATCAAATATATAATCGTAGCTTTTCATATACGCCCATTACATAAATCCCTTTTGCTTGCATAAAATCAAAAAAAAAAAAAAAAAAAAACCAAGTGGAAACTTTTTGATTTTTTGAAATATCATAATCATTAACGACAGATGTATTACAAATGAAACAAATGGTTAGTTGGATGCACGTATCATGCTGTTTAAGTGAATCAAAATTAGAAGAATTGCTGAATAGAATGTAAAATCACTATGAAACCATTTTATACATATTCAAATTTCAGTAAAAATCATTCACCGTCTTAATTATTCACCGATATTTACAAACTATTTGATAAATCCTTAAGACTATTCCGTGTATAATTTCGAAAAATAAGACATTGCACGTTAGTACTTGGAAGAGAACTGAAATCTTCAACCTGTTCGTGTAACGTAATAATCCAAACCAATCCCCATTCTCAACTTAATTTCGTTTACTAATGAGAACATATTTTTAGGACAAATACTTCTAATAGATTCAAATCTTTTTGAAGCTCTTTGGGACGACTACTCAATATTGTTATGAGATCAACCACATTTTAAAACGAGCTTCCGAAACTTAGAACACTTCTTTATTCGTTGAACCTAATTCGCCTATCACTAATTGTCCTACTACACTTCACTGCATATTATGTATGACATTATATCGATTTGGCTGAAAAAAAATCCCAAAAATTTTGACAATGATTTCAACATTCTAAACTATTGTATGTAAGGCAACGTTTTCTTATCACTCTTCCGTATTACTCACAAAACGTTGTATTACCCGGAGAATGTTCAGACATTTTTAGGTATCATTCTGAAATATCACAAGAATTGAGACATTAACCACTGCTCGCTTCTGATCCATGAGTGAATGAGTTTATAAACTAAAGGATGTTAATATTTCTTCTATCCCTCCTCGACATCTAGCATGAAATAGGAAATACGATCGATGTATTGCTAACTTCATGCAACAAAACCCGATCTTATACCCTTCTCCAACAAATTCAGCAATAGATAAAATCTCCAATACCTGACTGCTGAATAGCACTTTCTCCCAAATAAGCATTCCCATTTTTCAATTCGTAACTTCAGAAGAATTTGAAAAAGGATCTAATTTAGTGTTTCTGCCAACGACGACAATGAATTAGCGTTTGACAAGATGGATGCAGTTCGAAATTTTTGGCCTCATGTCAATGGGCGTCCTTACACTTGTTATGATGGACAGCATATTTAAGTGCAAAGTCATCGAAAAAAATCAGAACTCATATCTATCATGTCACCATCGCACCTATCCCCCATATACGACCAAGTGCGAACTCATGAATATCCTTTCTTATAACATCTAGCAAAACCACTGCTCACTGCATATTATCAGCACCAATTTTTCATTTTCGCTTCATTATAATCATAAAAACCTCGTGCCACCATTTTTGAAACTCCGTCCTTGATTCCTCGGACGCTTCTCCTTGTTCATCCAGAGAAACTAATAAAAAGGAATGGAACTGTTGTGGTTGACTGATTCTCTCTCCCTTCTTTTTTTCAAGGTCAGAAGAAACCTACTGATGATGTTGTTGGTGCTTTTTGCTTGAAGAGCTTTTACAACGGAACAGCAATTTCAATTCGATCGCTTAAAAAACGGCCCACAAAAAGGACAAAAAAATCCAAATCATTGCAGTGAAACGAATACGAAGACAACGAAGAAAAAAGAAACGAAAAAAAAAGCAAAATAGAAAAAAAAAGCAAAATAGATGGCTGTGAAGAGCAGTTTCTCCCTCCTTCTTAATACGCATCTGTCATTTTCCCGCGGGGACCCCTTTCGAATTATTAAACTTAGGTAATCTTAGTGATCCTGATGAACTACAACAAAGCAAGATTAATCAATGTAGCGTAAGTCTGTGTTAGTTTTCCAAAATCAATGCTTTTAACAATTTCAGTATGTGGAAAATAAAAGCTTCAAGTTGACTAGATATGCAAGTAGAACTTAAGTAATTCGTTATATACACTGTTCTACAAAAGCGACGGGTGAAGACATCAGCAATATATCGGATAGCAACGTCAGTAAAAGTATTCGGTCAAGTGTAACTAAATTACTGGGAATCTGAGCCGTTTCCACAAATTTCAAAATTGAATTGAAAATTTCAAGCTCCCAAAAGTGAATTTCAAAACCCCCCCATAGTCATTCAGTCTTATTTGCGTAAAAATGAAAGTTAGTTCGAATAAATGAGTGTAAGTTATTAAAACTGAAATAAACATTTCGCTGAATTAGACAAAACAGACAATTTAGTTTGGGTGTTCTGATTCAAATTAAGTAAGAAATGTAAGAAATAATTATGATTTTTTCCTTTTATTTTTCCATGAAATAAGATAAATAAGAGAACAATAAAAGTTCTTGGAATCATTTTAGTAAAGATAGACACACTTTTCAGGGAAAAAGAAAAGTATTGTGCAGATAGTACTGTAAAAATAAGAGAATTACATTAAAAACCTGTTACTGCAAATCACCCCTCTTCGAAGCTAACAAAAACCTGTTCAATTCCCAAGAACAGCCTTCCTTCTACAGTATTGTCGGGAAAAATTTAGCAAGTTTTGGAACAATCATCAACCACGGAAGATGTTTTAAAAAGATAATCGAGCAACATAACAGAAAAAGAAAAAAGGGAGCAAAGAAATGAGATTTCAAAAAATTTCTTCTAACATCTGACAAAAAGACAAAAGGAACTTCACGTAAGAATATACCATCCCTTAGTTATTATTCTTAAAATAAGCTAGAAAATGTAAGTGTATTTGATTGCAAAAATAACCACTTACATCATCCGCAGTATGGTCCAGAGCACTCGCTAATAATGCTGGGAATACTTCGTGGACTCTTTTCAGCAGATATTCTACTGCCATAAATTCAACATACAATGATGGAACTTGCTCCACTAACATACAACATAATTTACTATCTGCAATTCAAAAGGAAATTAGTTTAATAAATATAAAAGATTCACTTCAACTATATATACATATATCTTAAAAAACTCGTCCATACAAATTTTCATCTACCCTTCCATTCTAAATGCGATAAAACTGATTTAATTCTGAAACAAGAACACACCGACTGTCCCATATCCCTGTTAACAGTCAATAACAATCCCAAACCTTGAATTCGTTCAAATTCAAATGAACTTTTCACCTCATCTGAGTTCTTAATAAAAAATGAGCTTCTCCTTATTTAGGCGGTGTTATTTACTGTAAACTGAGTTTAGTCAACACAATGTCAACATACAAGTTAGTTAATTTCGGTAACTGGGACAAGCTGTTAATCCCTTTAACAAGAAGACCAAATATATATACTGTTGTAACCGAGTGCAACCTCATCGACTTCGATGTTTTGCATCGCATAACTCAGTTTAAAAATAGCAAGTTTGAAGTGTTTCTTAATAATATAAAAGCGGTGGATTCGGCGAACTCCAATCTCTCGAGTATTTCCGGAGAATTATTTTAAGATAACAATGTAAAAAATTTGGCTATTTTCTTATCACTGCAAAAGTACCTGTTTCTTTAGCAAACACATTTTCAATCAGACTAAAGACAACTTCAATTCGCCGTTGCTCTTTTTCGATGTTCAACATCCGTGACAATTTCGACAAATCACGGATTGCAACTGCCCTGGAAAAGTTTCTACTTCGACCAAAAATTATTCGAAAAACAAAAGAAAAAAACACAACCTTTCAGTTAAGAATTCTAAGAATGAGCTCAGGTTAGAGATCAAACGCACAAAACTAAAACTAAAATTTGCCAGTTTCCGTAAGCAAAAATCCTTCAGAGGAACAAACCACTTCACCATAGTTAATCATTCATAGAGATGTCCTTATCCTTGCAAGGCATTCATAGAAATGTCTCTATCCTTGCACATGCAGACTAAATCAACTATGTGATGAGGATGGTTCTGAGACAAACAAATAATGCAGCCTACCTCTCTATGAAATCAAAAGGATAACTTTACTGAAATTCTCAAGTTCAAATATCCTGTCCGTACTTGAAAATAAGAATTTTGGCATTTATTCAGAACCTTATTTACCATTTCCAAAAACTAAAAGACTCACCTGTCCGACAAGTTTTCGCTACGTGCATACAGTAAAAAGGTATCGTAGTGAAGTACTTCCACAGTTTCTATTTCCATTTCTGGAAATAATAAAATAAAAGCCCTACTTTGATGGAAAGTGAAATCATTTGCTTTTCATGAAACGGAGAGGTAGAGCCTTTGATCTAAAATGTAATCAACATCAGACTTACATCTGTCTGAGTAATGGAAATAAAACTTTCAATAAATCCCATATTATACATGCACAACCAACCTTCGTTAAATTCACTTTCGTTAAATTCAATAACCATTTCGGGAAAATTAATAGCTGCAAATAAAAAATCTTTCTCACTGGATTGTATTTATACCAGTTCCAGATTCTCCAAACTATGTAAATCTTACTGGAAATTCAATTTCACATAGCGAGTTATGTAGTGGCTGTTTAGTACAATTAAAATTAGTTTTCATAGGGTTTTTTCAACTAGAAAAATACTTTACCAACATCAGTAGTCAAAAATGTATTGTGTATTAGTAGTAGTCAGAAATGAAGCTACAAATTCGAGAAAAAATTGAGACGATCCATATAGGGTGGATGGTTTTTCGGATGGGCCAAATCTGTGAGGTTAAGTTAGAAATCTAAAGAACTTTCTAAAAAAGCCATCTAAGCTATGTTTACAGTAATAAAATAGTCTACAAAAGACGAAACATAAAAGAATATCCCTATTCCTATGACTTACCTGTAGTGGAGAAATAATTAGTCGCTGCCATCGTTATTTTACTGTCCAAAATTGTATTTGAGAAAACGCACTGTTTCCCATATAACCAAAAAGGAAAAGTTTTCTCTGAAAAAAGGAAAAGTTTCTGGAATGTTTTGGCCGTAATCGATTAAAATCCCTACTATATCACGATGATTAAATATTCCACCAGCAGTATACGAGTTCCAATTCAAAAATGAGCTAAACGCATAGTTTGAAATCAGGGATTACCTGAAAAAATTAGTAATTTGAATGAAAGTAAGAAAAAAAAACAGATATCTATCCCTTATTGCTGCATGAAAGATTAGCTATACTTAATGACACCTATCTGTCACTTCCAAACCTATCTCCGCATTCAACTAGCCCACCTGTTCGTTCAATCCCAAACAACCGCATGAAAATACGTAAAATTCGTCCATACGAAGCGTTACATTCGATGGCTCTCGAATATAAGTAATAAAGTCGGCATGGATAGTATGGTTGATGTTCGCATCTGAAAATTGAGGTATCATTTCCTTGGATTTATCATTAATTTCTCCATTTTATTCTTCATTTAGCATTCCACTTATTCATATCACATAAATAGTATATGTAAATTAATGATACCATCGGTATAAAAAAAAGAAAGTGTGCGCAAATATCCGATAGTAACAAGAATGAAAGTGACCATCAGTCGAATGGTCATTTTCATCCTTGCCACTATCGATTACAACTCCCAATAACACGCGTGCCGAGCTAGGTTGATAGGAAGGTGATTGATGTCATACAAGCAAAATTACTTACCTTACTAAATAAAGTAAGAAATTTTGCTTGTTTGTGATTTGGTTCCTTCGGATATTAACCCACACATTTTTGTTTTTCTTTTCTTTTTTTTTTTTTTTTTTTTTTTTTTTGTTACCGAATAATCACAAACAAGATGATCCATCATGTGATTGCCAGTGTGGAATATTTGATTGATAAGATTGAGTTATCATAACTTTGTTTAATTCTCTTTGTCTATGATTTTTACCTTACTTATAACTAAACTGTTGAGATATCAGTCGAATGATTACTTTCATCCTTGCTACTATCGGTTACTCTCCCAATAACACACATGCCTAGATAAGTTGACGGAAAGGTGACTGATGTCACTTGTATGGACTAATTTTATCATATTTTATTGCTATTATGGTAGTATTCGTTCCGCTCTTATATGAATATGATAATCAGACATTGTGACAATTAACAGGATACAATATGAGGCCTAAGGTCTCCTAAGTTAATCCATTAACGTCCCATAATTGCTATGCCAACTTGCAAACGTTGTTCTATCATCCCTTCTTCAATGATTATTACAAAAAAGCTTTCTTACCTTTGGATTACCTTATTTTTCAGTATTGGGCAATTCGAAATGAGTTGAACGTCAGCATGACGTTTAGTTATTTACGGTTAGTTTTTTGTGACGTTTAGTTATTTTACGGTTGATACAAGTCACTTCGAACTACATCTCATAAGCTTACAACGAGTTTCTTCTGGATAAATTTCATAAACTTACAACGAGAACTCCCAGATAAATCTCACTAAACTTTTAGTGAGTCTTTCCGGATAAATTTCACTAAACTTACAACGAGTCTTTTCGGATAAATTTCATTATCTTTCAAGTCCCTAAAGTTATCTGCAAAAGACGGTACACTAATATACCAGAAGATTTTTGAAGCAGTTATTTTCATTCAATAATGCCGGAGATCAGAAATTGCAGGATCCAGTCAGAAGGTATCATCCTCCTCATTACTTCTCTCATGAACGCATTTCTCAATGCGCATTCTTCACCAACAAAAAGTTCACACTTCCATCGCCTTTTGCTATACTATCTCGTCAAAACCAAACTTTTGTGAATCCAACATTACATTAGGGAACATACGAGTGTCTCCTAATTTCCTTCATCCAAAAATTTAGTCCTTTAAAGTCCAGCTACAGACCTCTGTGGTGATACCAGACTGCTCTAACCCTAGCATTAGAGAATTTGCAAGCAGCTGATATTCGCTTAGACGAAAAAATTTTACTAAAATGATGGAAGGATATTGAAAAAGGTGAGAGCAGCAGATAAATAAGTGAAAATTCATTGATGACAAAATAGAAATATGGTAATTTGAACGAATGAATTTTCTTTCTTCAATTTCCACCAGATTGAAGAGAGAAAACGATCTATGATTTGATCCTGCCGGGTGGACAATACGACGATGGTACGTTATTTCAGCATCAAGAAGAATTATTTGGTGTTCTGTATCAGCATAATGTTTCATCTCTTGTCTGTCGGATTGGTCTACAATTCCTCGACATCGTTATGTAACTGTTCGTAGAAACTAGCCAAGATGTAGGCCTAATTTATAGCTATATGAATAACAATATTAATATTTAGCGTGATTTCAAAGCATTTCAAAGTTATTCCATCCCGATGATTCTCGAAATTTGGGAAGAAAAAAATTACTTAATTAATCAAAAAAAAAAAATTTGCAAATGCGATTTCCGATTACTACTAAAGGTTTGATGCATTTCTGAATAAAATGGTTTAACAATTTGTTTGAATAAATGTTGCGAGATATTTGGTGATATGCTTGAATCGATACATATTCAAGCTATCATGCATTTCAATCCATTCCATTCCATTCCAATATATTCGGTCTATTTCGCCCAATCCGCTTTTATCATTTTTTTTTCTTGAAAGAAAAACATTTTCAATTTTAATCTAAAGTGCAATTAGTCCAGTAAATTAATTGAAAAATTCAATTCCAAACTTTTTTCCAGTAGTCGATTAAAAAATTCAATTTTCAAAATATCTTTAATTTCAAGTAATTAATTAAGTAATTGCTTGATAAGAATAAATTATTTATCAATATTTATTGCTTTCATATTCTCTAACCAACATATTTTTATCCTTACATTACAAACATTTGGTTGTTTTTCGATAGCATATTGCAAATGCATCGGCAGAATATTTCTAATTAATTTAACTTGAAAATTTTTGCTTACAAATGGTTCAAATAAATTGCGATATAATATAAACAAATAGTTTGCATATTGATTTTCTCAAATCATTAATAAAATTAAAATTAAAATTAAATTATTTATTGGACCAAATTCCTAATTTCTAATCCATAAATTTGGCTTAAAAATGTAATATAATTGATAAAACGTGCGAAAGTTTTTTAATTTCTTTTAGTTTTTCTAAAAAATTTTCTACTCCACTTTCAACTGTTTTTCC